CATTCCTGCACAGCCAGGCTGAAAACTCCACCTGACACACTTTTCATCCAATCTGTCTTGTGCAGGCAAAAGTTACAAGCCCCTGGTTGGGGTCCTTTGAAAATATCATGCATGGCATCGTAAGTGTTGTCTCTGTTCTTAGACAGTGCTCTGAATACTCTTAAATTCCACAGCCCAAGAGGTGAAGGGAACACACATGATGCATCAAACATACCGGGTGCAGTTCTGTCCAAATGCTCCGCTATACACTGGGAGCAGCTCTCATGACATCAACTGACTCGCACTCAATTGTAAGTGAAGTTGGCATCAGACAGAGTTTCCAGTAAACTTTGCTGATACCAAGGGTTCAGCTGTAGCAAGGATATCAAAGATAGAGCTGGCAAGCCAGATGTTGTCCAGCTCCTGGTGCTGCCTGTGCACTAAATGAGAAGTATGGAATTTTCATAGATGCTAGGGTCAGAAGGGACCTCAACAAGCCATCAAGTCTAAACCCTGAAAGCTGGAGACCCTATTGACTGAGCTACTGGGCCATCACAGGTAGGACTTGAACCCACAATTCCCAGCTCCAGAGGCTGATCCATTAAGCTACTGGGCCTCTACATTAGGCTACTAGGTTTGGTCTGATGCATGTTTCAGACAGCTCTTGGAGCCAGTCCGGGGCACACACTGCCTGTGGCACTGTACCAAACTGGCCCTGCACACTGGATGCAGCACACAAAGCTGGTCTGTGAGCCTGATCCAGTCCACCAACTGCCCCAACACTGCTCACCTGGCCCACAGGGGCTGATGAGTTTGGCAGCCCTGCAGATATGGTGATAACTTTTGATTCTGGATGCCATCACCATTCAGAGATTAACAGCATGAGAATGCATTTTTGAATAGCAATATCATATCACATGCCAAGGCCCTGTGAAATTGCGTCACAAGACCTCTTGAGAAGATTTTAATGTCCATAAAAATGTACTTGCAGTTCCCAGAGCAAATATAGGGGCTTGTGTTCAGTGGATGTGGCAGTTATCTGTGGTATAGTTATGTGCCGTTTCTCTAAATCCAGCTCATTTGTAAAGGGTTCATTGGTCCTGATCCCTACTCAAAAGCTCAGGGGAGACAAAAGGCCTCTTTTTGGCTTGCAGTTCTGTCTCACTTGGGACCAGAAAAGACACTGCAACTATTGATTGTGAGCAAAGGTGTAGGGAGGAGCAAGGAGTGAGGACGCCAAGCTCTGCCTTGTTACTCACAGGTCAGGGCAGCTTGTTGGGTGCAAGGAGCACTGCTGCTCCATGAGGAGGGGTAAGGGAACCTTCTGCTTACCCTATACCAAGCACAGAGCAACAGGAATTGTAACCAAGTCCTGGGGTGATGCAACTGTGCATTGCCCCTCTGTGCAGAGGGGCCAGGGGTGACCCAAGTGGTCTGGTGGCAGTTATGGGTGGGGATCATGAGCCTAAAAAGAAATTCATTTCTTCTATATTATTATTTGGAATCAAAACTGGAGGTCATTTGGGAATGGCTGCTTTGGAGGTTGCCTGTAACATCACAGTCCAGCCCGAAGTTAACTTCTGTGACCAGACTATACTGGAACCAAAGATCTAAGTGACCCTTGGCCAACTCTTCCCTTCCAGGTGTATGCCAAACCAAGCAAAAGTGTCCAGACCCTATCCTGCCTCCTTGTTCCAGCCCAGTTGTGCCACTGACAGGGATATTTGGCCCTGTACCGTTCACTGTAAGCATAAGGTTTTAAGTTGCCACAGCCACCAGTGCCCACAGTGGATTTTTGTTCAGTTCCACAGTAAGCACTACCAGCAGAAAGCCTCTAGATGGCACAGTATATCC